AGACATAATACGTTTAATGTCAGGAACATAACCCAGGGAAGTGGTAGAGCAATAGTAATTTGAGAGGGAAAGCCTAGTACTGAAAATTCTTCTCGGAAGGAACGTTATTCTACTATTGCATAGGTTCCCTAGAAACAGAAGTTTTCTCTTTCTATAAACTATGTATGTATATATGTATATATGGGTATATTAAATATAATACTAGACCATATGGCTTGTGTTACAGGGGGACAAAGTTCTAAATAAGATAAGATTAAGAGATAAGTTTCTGCTCTCGTGACCCACTGCGAGAGGAGGCTTCCTTCCCGGGAATACCTCTGCCTTCTGACTTCAAACTACCGAGGCATTTATTTTGTAATCTAGGCACACAGACACACACAACAATCATACGTACATACTTAATAGGTAGGAAGCGTGTGTATTGATCTGTTGTCTTAATCACTGACCCATCAAGAGTGTCAGTCAGCACGTATCAGATCTTTATAACCGGTGAGATTGTGATAACTGTTACACCTGAGTTATTTGTCCGAATGGCATGTCTGAAAACAAGGGGTTACACAGTAATTCGGGGTAACGATATTCTGTGCTATAGAATCAAAGTGCCGTTGTGCTACATGTATATATAGTACATATATATTACGAGTATGTGTCATTCCGTAATCAGTACGATGTATAGTATAAGTATATACACTTAAAAGTAGGCACATGTTAACGATAATATTGACAGCAATACATAAACGCAGGTCGGGTTAGTATTATTTAAGTCGCCATTTTTAAAGCAGTTTTTCATTAGATGAACGAAATGATGGTGCGGAAAGAAGATTAGCAATAAACACAATAACCATGATGCAATCGCGTTACTCATTACAATGCACAATTTCTCCAGTGATTGGAAAATAATAACTGTTTGATGTTCGGTCTTGTTATAATAATAAATGAAATGATGCAAATGAACGCATACAGCTTGATCTGCAATATCAGTTTTAATACATTTAACTACACATGAGCATTATAATACATGCATAATATAATGCATTGCACTCAAGTCACCAGTGAAGCATTTGCATGCTGTTTAGAGACATACTTGTGTAAATCCGACTAACTGATCGAGGTTCAACCCATTGTTGTAACAATTCGTTCCGTGGCGACAGCCTAAGCCTGTGCTATACCCCGGGTGTGAGATACCCTGTAACCAGTGCAGCGTATAACTGGGTCACCTACCCGTCGCATGTACTTTACTGCCAAGCTGGAAGGGGGAGTAACTCGTCGTGTCGTACTAAACACGTACATTTATACGCTCAGCGGCAGAACTCATCAGTGACGTGGCGACAGTTGATCTAGTGGTTTTGTTTGTTTGTGGTTTAACACACTCAGCAATATTCCAGTTATATGACAGCGGCGATATGTCAATAATCGAGTCTGAACCAGACAATCCAATGAGTGATGTCATGAGAACAAAAGCATGCTGAAAACATCGTTAAACCCCGCATCGTCATCCACGTTTCAGACACTGCATTAGAGAATCTTCACAGCAAAAATTGATATAGTTAGATGTGTCGGTAAAGAAATAGAAATTCCTCTGGAAATATATACTGATCTTTCGCCCCCACCAAATTTATGACATTTATTATATGTTATGCGTGAAAGGCAGGTTACCGGAAGGCAGGACATGCTTATCCTATTCTCGAACACCTGCTGTCATAACTAATTTTCAGTGATTCATTCATATCATTTTCAACGCTATTTTGCCTTTTGCACTCAATGGAATCCGTTACAGATCGCCGAGACTGGTTGTTCTTTTGTTGACGTTTAATATTTACCCGAAATGAAAATACTAGCTTCTGATTGATTAAGGAACAGACAATTATTTTCCATGCAGCCCGTTCAAAGGTGGGTATACGGATTTTCTGTTGCCAGCTGAGAAACCAATCGTAAAGTCATTTTTCCCTTCATGTTGAGAAATAATCATGCAGATCCAGCCTTTGGTGTTTACATTTCACAACTTCTGAGGGACAATCGAGGATGCTCTTTCTACCACTATTTCACATAGAGTCATGCGACTGTTATTCAGAAGTTGTTTGACCAAGGTTACAACAATCAAGGTCTCAGTAAAGATGGTAGGGTTCTATGGTAGACATGTGGCGGGCATTTTCAATTTTAACACGCCAGTGACAAAAATATATTTATGTCCAATGCAGTTCCTCAATTTGTACAATTGACTTGCCTTTGCTTGAGTTTGGGGTGACTGCCATCGGTGGGGCAGGACACGCTTACCTTTAGCGAACACCTGGTATCATTACTATTTTAGAGTGCTACATATACACATGCTCATGATATAGTCGGATTCGTTAAATCGACTGCTTTTTCGCAGAGATTTCTCAGGAATATGGAAAATGTTTTGTTGCTTTTAATTACACATTAACCAAAACGATAGACGTAGACGATGTGTATCGGTTGTTTTATGAATCAGTCAGAACGCTAGACGTGGATGATGAATATCGGATGTTTTATATACCAATCAGAATAGTAATGGTGGATGATGTGTATCGGAAATGAATCGGATGTGTATCAGTTGAACATCAATCATATAAAAGACGTGGGATGTGTGTATCAGATGTGTCATCCACCAATCAGAATGATAGACATGGAAGGATGTGTATCGGATATTAAACGTCCATCTGAAGGATTTGTGTATACAATGGTTAATGAATCAATCAGAACGATAGACGTTAAGGGTGGCTGTAGGCTGTTTTATACACCTGTCACAACGATACATGTTGAGGGTGTGTATCGGATGTTTTATGCATCAACCAGAACGATAGACGGGAAAGGGTGTGTATCGGATATGTTATACGTCAATCTGAAGGATAGACTTCGAGGATGTGTATTGCATGTGTATCGGTTGAACATCAATCAGAACGATAGATGCGGAAGATGTGTAACGGTTGAACATCAATCAGAACAATAGATTGGGAGGATGTGTATCGGATGTTTTATACACCAATCAGAGCGATAAACCTGAAAGATGTGTATCGGTTGAACATCAATCAGATTGAAAGACGTCGAGGAAGTGTACTGGATGTTTTATACAACAATCCGAACGATAGACGGGAAAGGATGTGTATCGGATATTTTATACGTCAATCTGAAGGATAGACTTGGTGGTTGGGTGTCGGATGTGTATCGGTCAAACATCAGTCTACACATCACTACACTACTGCAACACATCAGAATGACACAGTTGCAGGATAATCAACGCAAAGAAGCATGCAAAGACGTAATTATATCCAAACAGGATGTTGGCGGTTTTGCAGCGTAGCAATCAACCTTTATATACAAAATACTAAGAACCCCTAACACATGTATCTGCTTGACAGCTAAAAAGCCCTATCATATATACAATATGCAGGAAATGCCAGATCAGAAGTTACGTGTGCAAATGTGAAATATTTACCCTGCTCACAGCGAAACAGGGATCAGGCTGGTCATGCTCCGTCGATTGTGTGTCACGTACCACTAATGTAGATACATGTAATCGAAACCACTCAGACAAATGAATGGTGTATGGCAAAAACAGATTGACCACAATTGCATGACAAATATACCATTAGGGCCTACTACGGACTTGATTCAATATCAACGTAATAATGTACAGATAAACTAGGCTAAAAAATGGTGACTCGGAAAAATGACATTTGACGACAACTATTTCTGTAGTACAGGTGAATACAAATTAAGAGGCTGGGGGTTCGTATCCCGTCGAGTTTTAAATGTGCAGCTTTTCTATCATGGAAACGGAAGCTGACAATGTTGGATAGAGCCTTTACTATTTTACGTTACCCCCAACCCTTATGTCTTTAGGTTCTACTACACCAAATCAGAACTAGTTGGGACAGTGCGGTTTTCGTAGTCTTCAGTGCAGATCGAGAGATAACTGCAGGCTGTGATTGGAGGATATTCTGTAAGATTTTTCTGTTTTTTAAAAGTACATCCATCCAGTTATTAAAACTGACCATGTTTGTATATATTTAGTACTGTCTTTTTCAACATGATGACTTATGCTGAATGTGACATTTGGTGCGAAAGGGATGGGGGGTGGGGGTAGGGATGGTGGGGGTGGGGGGGGGGGGGTGGGGTGGGGGGGTGGGGGGGGTGCTCGGCTTCCTGTACTCGGAAAAGGAGTTGGCTAAGCTTGTCATTTCTTATGTTTTCATAGCTGCTCGAAGGCGAAACTCCGCACTCACGTACAGGTAATAGCTGTTGAATGCTTAGGTATTTGTAAAACAATATAGCGTTACTATAGAAGTCTAAACATTAGGTTGTGTGTAACCTGTAACGCCATATGTAATACAAAAGTAAAACATCTCTTAAAATTAGCAGCACTAGCTCACACATTTGAATTGTGGTTTACGATAATAGCCAAAAGGAAATCTTAAGGTTATCAATTAATTTTAGATTTTAAAGGCGTTATCCCACTTTTGCTCAAGGGGATATGGGTAATTATATAGTAAACACTCTCTTAGAATTAGCATTATTGACCCTTTGCATTCGCATTCTGCTCACAAGTTTGAAACGTGATTTACTATCATCAGCCAAAACGAAATATTGAGATTCCATTCACTGTAGATTTTAAAGGCGTTAAACCACTTCTGGTTTTACATATATTATAAAAAAAGTGTTCTGCTACTTTTGGACAGGGTAATGCGTATCATAATATGGTGAATATTCACTTAGAAATACCAAACAAAGTTTATCATTGTTGATAATTAAAATAATACTATCTCTATTATAATGTCAGATTCGGTGATCACAAAATAAAATCTTTAGATTTTTAACAGAAATCCTCCTTACTGTCAACTATTAATCTGCATACAGTATTCAGGAAGTTGTTATCCATAAATTGTGTCTACTTTGTCCTCCGCCAACTTCTAAATAATGCCTATCAAACAATTAATCCATAACCAGTTGAGACACTAATACTATGTCCTCCTAGGCGACACCTGTAAGCTAAGCTGATGTAACTTCCTGGTGTTGGCGGACATGTTGAGCTTTGTCGGAGACCTATTCAGACCTAGAAGCCAAATAGGGCTATAACAAGGTGAGTTTCAAGAACTATTTTCCGACTGTTCACTTAAGTGAGCAATAAGCCGACTATTCCACATCTGGACAGTGGACAAATCATGTTCTCTCTTTATAAAATGCACTGTTGTGTCTGAAATAGAAAACAACCTATTGTTACCAGCAACGCGGGACAGTATTTACTTGGGTTTATCATAGTGTTTAAAACATCCGAGGCAGGCTGATGAGCAATATTTATTGTCAAAATATAGAAAACGAAATGTCGTCCTTATTCGAATGCAGAATTAACTAGGTCACATACACCTTGCATGTACTTTGTTATGCAGGAGGTTGATGTAACTCGAGCTGGACTAAACGCTAGGCGGTGGGATGTCTCGTGGTTTTGCGATTATTGATGGGAGGTGGTAGCTGCATGTTTGAAAATACTTATAAAGTCCCAGCTAACACATAACATTTTCAAAACATTTTAAAAAGGTTTTATTGAAGATTTTTAAAAACATTTTTGAAATGTTTTACAACTATTTAAAATGTTATTGAAATGTTTTCAAAATGTTATTTAAGAGCATCATACCATAACATAGGCGAAACTATTTCATAACATGTAAAACCAGCCGGATCAGGTGTAAATGTTTTTATAATTATTCAAATGTTTTTAAAACACTGCAAACACGGAAACGACGAAAAATTCATTAAAATTGATTAATTGGTGAGCGTCTAGAAAGTGTCCGGAAAAGGGTCGAGTTTTTCAAGCGTAAAAAGATGCTTTTTGCTCCGCCTTGTTCAACTGTTAACGGCCAATCGGATGGCGCTGGTCACCCGACGCACGTGATGGCTAAGGCTTCCTTTCGGGAGCATTAGGTTTCGTATTTCTGGCATGCCTTGCTCTATAGCTAGTATCTGTCCCGCGCATTTACTCTCTGTGTACAGCTCCTGTTTCTGTTGTACGCTGATGACATAGTTCTATTTGGTACCGTAACCGATCCTGGATCTCTATAAACTTCTTAAAACTCACTCTTATTATACTGTCGAAAATGAGAAACTAACGGTTAACATATCATAAGTTGTCGTTTTTGGCAGTGGTATTACAAAGAGAAAACTCGCCCCCTTCATTTTCGACAATAAAGAATTAGAAACGGTAGACTTCCATGATTATTTAGGCATAAAATTCAATATAAATAGGAACTTGCCGCCAAAGCTTTAATCGAGAATGCCACAAAATGTATGTACTGTCTCCTGAAGTAATCCCGAAATATCAATCTCCCACTCGAATGTATTATTAAAGCATTTGATGTTATGGTGTTACCAATCTTACTGTGCGGCACCGAAGTGTGGGGATTTGAATGTTTGAATATGGTTGAAAAAGTTTATTTAAAATTCCTTAAATTAGCGGCTGGTTTAAAATTATCAACTCCTTCTTTTATAGACATATTATACGATCCCAACAAAATAAGTTTTCGACTCTAATATATCAATTCATTAATATGGATGCCAACGTAAACTCCAATATTCGCCCTTGGTTATATAATTTAGAATGTTTATTAAGCTCCTGTGGCCTGACCCAAGTATATGATATGTCATGTAATTTCAAAACCAAGGGACTTGTCTCGTCTGTGGAAAGAATATTGACCGATCATTTTCTACAGTCCTGGAGAAGTTCAATATTGTTCAAAAGGTTTCTATAATAAACATCTTAGGAAATGCCATTATTTGAAAACTATCTCCATCTACCTAAATCTGTTTATTACGCGCTCTTACAATTTCGCACTAATAACCACAGTTTCCCTTTCGAGATTGGCCGCTGCAATAATGTACCCAGAGAACAGCGTCTATGTTCACTCTAACGTCTATGTTCACTCTGTAACTCCCCAGCAATAGCAGATGAATTCCATTATGTATTTCGATGTCAAGCTTTTGATAACAAAAGAATTTCACTTTTTCCTAGAAGATATTTAACTTGGTCAAATGTGTTTTCATTAAAAAGCCTATTTTCAACAACCAACTAAACGAGCTGAAACGTCTATCAAAATATGTATTGTTTGTATTTACAACTTTGAATGCTAAATCTAAATGCACACAGCCTTCTTGATATACATATTATATTTATCTCTGTACTTTATGTATGCTCTTGTACCACCGTGGGTGGTCTATGGAGAAATAAAGAATCTGGATTCTGAATCTGAAATACTTTCCGATCGACTGTAGCGTATTAATTTAAATTACTGTAGGTTAATAAACCCGTTTTTTTTAAGAAATGAGAGACACATTCTTGTGAATTGGCATTCAAGTTAACTTTCACAAGGAAGGGGGGTCGGCGGGGGGCCGCTACGGCACTTGTTGTTTTTATTTTGTTTTATTTATGCATTCGAGTGTGAGCCGCGTTAACGGTATAGCAATACAGCGCGGTAATTTAGCTATTGGTAGCGGGCGAAGCTGCACTTAGTAAACTGCATTGTTGCCGTTACATTGAAGCAAGGTGCTTACACTGTGCATTCATAATATTCTCCCAAAATAATCAAATTTATCATTTTCGGATAGATGTAACTTGCGCGCTATAACGGGGTGTTGCGAGAGTTAGTCCTCAGCGACTACGTTCTGGACGTTCGCTTGTCAGAATTCAAAATGAATCACAGCACATGTTCCAGTGAGTTAGTTATCATTTGGGGACTAGTGCACATTACCATATCCAATTGGCGCTGTGGGTGCTTGAACGCGCTTCGCCGGCTCGGGTAATTAATGTGTCGACGCTCTACCACTGGATCACGAGCGCTATCACATAACATGAGTGCTCGTTTAAAGGGTCATTAGCACTCCATTAACACGCATACGCAATTAAGTAAACAATGTCTTGCGCATGCCTGTGACGTCACAGTCCGCCCTCGCATTCATCTTTTCTTGAAACCACAACCGCCATTGTTTATGTCAACATGACCGACCAATCGGATTAACCAAATTAACGCTTGAAAAGGTAGGAATTTATGGCTGGCAAAAATGCAGTTTAACGGGCGCAGCCCTACCTCTACCATCCGCTCAAGTACCGCGCTGTAGCGCGACCGCTGTCTCGCTATACCGTTACCGTGTGTGTTGGATCGTAAAGACGTGTAAGTTTCCCGAAGAGGTCTTGAAGCGAGAGTCACTGGAGCGTGAGCCACGGTAACAGTATAGCGAGACAGTGTTCACGCATGCAATAGCGCGGTAATTGGGCGGATGGTAGAGCTCGGGCTGCGCCCGTCAAACTGCATTGTGACACCAATGATTCATTAACATTGCGACAGTATTCGTTCGGTTTTCGATCAACATGTTTTGTCACGAAACAAAAAAACACATCCCATTTTAATTCTGGAAACCCATTTGTCCAGAAACTCCACATGTTGTGGCCGGTCTCGGTCAAAGGTATTTTTAATGGGTACATACTGAGGAAGAGAAAAATTAAAAAAATGTTTCGAAATCTCAAAATTTAAACTTTGTCGCCCATGGGCCTGCACATGGGCGAGACTATTTTCATTTGCTCAAAACTCATGTTTGTTTGTGTTTAAAATATATAAAGGTTTTTATAAGTATCATGACATATAATTCAACTCATTTAAACTAAATCCAACTAATTTGTCTCGTTATTAAATATTTCGCACATGGGCGAAAAAGTGTGGCCCATGGACGAGAATATTAGCCTTTGCTTAAAACTCATATTCTTTGTTTTGCAAATGCATTAAGACGTTTCAACAAGTATCATGACACATAATTCAACTCATTGTAAACTTAATTCAACAAATTGAAAGCCTTATTAAAATATTTCGCCGATGGGCGAACACGGTTGGTCCATGGGCGAGCAAAGTTTCATTTGACCAAAACTCATATCTTTTACTTGCAGATACATAAAGGTTTGACAGTAAGTATCATGACACTAATTCATTTGCTCAAAATTCATGTAATCGTCACTATTTGACAGTGAGTCATGAACACATGTTAATGGTAAAGTCGGAATCGTACAATCTGCTCTGCTTTATGAATATGGAAATATGTTTTCGCGGTAGTATTGCAAATACATAAGTTTGTGTCCACAAGTATCCTGAGTCATTATTCAACTTATTTCGTGAACTAATTTCAGCTAAATTAATGTTAAGACTTATTCAAATACTTGACTCAAGAAAGAAAATATTTGGTGCATGGACCAGCAAATATATTCCTTTGCTCAAAATTAAACTTCTTTCCTGCTTATGCAAAAACACAGATGTGAAACTAAATGTATCATGACACATATTTCAAATAATTTTGACATTGTTCAACTATTTATGTTGATAGCTTTATAAAAACATTGGCAAAACATTTCAAATCAACTCTATGCATAATAAGGCATCTTGCAAACGGTTTTGTCAAGATTAACTGTATGCATATGTTAGTAAAAAAAGGTTTTCAATGAAACACGTACATACATATCAATGTATTTACACAATAATTTTAGCAATTTACTATGGGGGCAAAATGAAAGCTTTTCGTTCAACTTTGCCTTTGAAAATATAATATTTTGGTAGTGATTTCTATGAGATATCGAACAGTTACATACAAATAGCTACGCCGCAAAAGTGAATAAAAGAAAATGGATGCACGTTGATATTTTTTAGGCAAGATGAGCCTTAATAATTTCAAGATGGTCTCAAATGTCAACGCAGTCTTCTAATTTATACAGGTTTTTTTACTTCTTGATTGATAATGATATTAGATAATAAATACAATATCATCCTTATATCAAATATATCAACACGCCATAACAAAAGTTGAAAAGCTCCTCTGCAAGCCTCAGACTTTTGCTACTTTAATCAACTTGCGTTCATATATTTGATACCAAAGGACTCTCCATGATATTCCCTATTCTTACATACTGAGAAACCGTTTAAGATAAATGGTATAAAAGATATGTGTGATATCGAATTCCATGTCAATGACTGGTTACTCCATAGTGATGACCTGAATATATTTCATTGATAAGTTACTCGTGCCACAGTCGAAATCACCTACGTCAGTGTCAACACATTATGGTTTAAGGGTGCACTAAATGTTCTTTTATCTTATCTAGTTTGCATTATCGCCAGGGCCTTGTTAATCAACACACATGGCGGAAACATTTTTGTGGAGGGTCACACCAGGTACACTACAGCGCCAAAGTATTGTACTTCAAAAAACATTTTTGTAAAACTTTTGCGTGGCTAAGCGGCGACTTCGTCGAATCTTTGTCCAATTTACGCGTAGCTACACAAACATTCAGGGGAGCTACTGTGGTCCCTTTTATGGGACCAATTAGTTTTATGACCGCCGGGCGTCGGCGCAAGCGTGGTGTTGGAAGACAGGTTATGCATGTACATCCCATATGGTGAATGTGTTTCACTATTCATATTCTAATTTAATTCATAATACCACACCATTACAGTACTCCTTGAAACTTAAAAATGACTTCAAATGTTAAGTACAATAGATTTAATGAGAACGAATAATAAACTACATATAGATTATTCAATCATTGTCTATTTTATCAGCCGCTACGAATGTATCGTTTGCATTGTACAAAGAAGGATTTTGTCTGTCATCTTGCAGATTTAGACTAAGATTTAGATTAAAAACGAGAATAATTGATTATCATGAATATATATTATTCAGTTAAAAGTTTTACATATACATGTACACAGTAATGGTCAGGTCCAAAGGAACGAAATGTAGAACGGGTGTACAAGTGTTTGAATTTGGTAAAATATATTGGTTTGTTGTATATGATTATTAATCGAATTTCTCTTTAATTCTTTTCATTCAAAATGTCCTGAGACTGTAAATGTGGACACACAGTAAGACCGATTACAGCTTATGTTTTTGATGGTATCAGTTCTCCGTTCTAAGATAGTGATGTAAGTATCTACTACCACTAACAATATATGTATATAATAAAATACAAAAATAAACTCTCTGCCGGAATGTGTCGTGCTAATCATACGATCGGGTAAGAATGACTGTATGACCAGACAAATCAACTATTCATACCCGATATATAAAAACCTACCAGATTTTAATAACAGTGCTATTACATGATAACTGAAAGTTCTAATTGGCAGATGAATTAGAGCAAGTGGCTACTATTACCCAAAGCTGTCAATAAATTCTAAATCTTATCTTAGAAATTATAAGCATAATCTTTAAGTAAGCCCATATGTGAAAAGTGTATGTAAAAAGAAGAGAGAAGTATATTAGCAAAGTTCAGGAGTGGTTCTCTCCCTTTGGCCGTTGAAACTGGACGGTTTGCCAATCCCTCTATTCCCTTGTGAGAGAGAAGGTGTATATATTGTCTTATAGATGCTGTTGAAGATGATAAACATTTCCTCATTAATTGTACTTTTTACGCAGATTCAAGGACTGATTTGTGGAAATCTGCCGAATGTTATAATCCACAGTTTAAACATCTCTCCAGTGATGGGGGCGCGGGTAGCCCAGTCGTCCAAGGCGCCGCGATTCGCTGTGCAGAGTTGCGTCCCTTGAGCGCGCCAGAAACCTATGATTGTGGGTTCGAATCCCGGTTCCCCCCGATTATGTTTCTAGGTTTGTCAGCACCATACCCGTGCTCGTGGGTTTCACCGAAGTGGTAAACGTCTGAGACTTGCATCACGGGCTTTCCTCCCACATTAAGCTGACACGCCATGATATAACTGGAATAATGCTAAAAGCGGCGTTAAACCCAACTCACTCACTCACTCTCTCCAGTGATGATCAACTAAATTACCTGATGCAAGCGGGAATTTTACAACCGCTTCTAGAGAAAACTAATGCACAAAAGACAAAGTGTAGGTTAATCTATTCACCCTCCACCAGCCCACAATACTCTATATTATTTGTATAACTTTCAATTATACATTCAATTACTGTGTGCTATTTTTTATGTTATAACATGTTTTTACAACTGTATATAAAATGTGTCTTATAGTCCTTATGGCCGGACATTTGCTCTAAATTGTTTTTTTAAAATGTTGTATCTTTTATTTAAAAAATATGTGACACATAAACACATAAATAAAATATTTTTCTTCTTCTGCTTTGAGTTTTATTCATTACTATATTCACTGCAGTTACTTTTTTTCAGAGGAGAGGGCATACACACAAGAATTATTTTGCTTTCCGTGTGTGAATGCAGGTAATACTTTGCATCTCAGTTCTCGGCTTTATAATTCTTCATACAGGTGGTATATCTGAATTTGTCATGTGTATATGGAAGCTTGTGTATAGCATGAAAATCAATTACTATTCGTCAGTCTACAACAACACAAAACTGTCAAACTAGTTTGGGGACCGCTTCTGCACATGCAATTTGTTTAGTACAATATTTGTTTTTATTACAAATCTGTTTCAATTTGCTTCCACCATTTTCCCTATACACTTTTATGCATGTTTATATTGCTTAATCTTATTCCTCACGTCAGTGAATGATTTCAACCACATGTTTGTGTGTTCCCAAATCTCGTGTATCATAAAACACTTTGATGTTTCTCCTTCCTTATCTAACGTTATAACATTTCGGTATCCTCCAATTAGTTTCACGTCCCATTTGTAACACACCTTAAAACAACATAGGTCATGGCTGAAGGCACTGACTGGTCTACCCTACGTTACTTAAGTATTAGAATGGACTGATCCATGAAAAGTAGAAAGATAATGTTATACTTTATGTACTATATATACTCTTAAAAAAAGAAACACAATACGGATTGTTTGGCAATAAAGCAAAATTAGTGGACCAAGAGGTGCAAAATGAAGAGGATTAATGTGTTATAGTGTCAGTGACAAATTTCCCGGTTCAAATGATCAAGAACAAGGACATACTAACCATTAGCCTACGATTCGGAAAACGCATCCAGTGCATTAACAAAAGGGCCATGGAGCTGCACGTACTGCATGTGCAGCAGCACTTTGAACGGTATTAGAGTGCAGGGTTTTTGATTGCCTGACATCTGCGTCAATCGAACAGTGACAGTTCAAGAACATGCCAAGATTTACAGAAGAGCAAAGAAACAACGTCATGGGCCACTTGCAAGCAGGGGAATCCTGATCAGCTGTAGCCAGGGTTTTCAATGTAACCCAGCACCATCACAAGGCTATGGGATCGTTTCAACAGCATGGGTCAACACGTGATCGGCCAAGGTCAGAACGACCGAGAGTAACCACCCCCGCCTAAGATCGCTACATTCTACAAAGTCACATACGTGAAAGGACGACCACAGCCACATCAACCGCATCCCAAATATCCGGACTGCGCAGAATCTCCGACCAGACCGTACGAAACCGTTTAAGAGCAGCATGTCTACGAGAAAGACGTCCTGTTCGACGTGTCATATTGAGTCGACAACATCGTCAACAACGACTGAATAGGTGTTGTCAATACAGGGTATGGCCTCAACTGCGATGGAGAGATGTCTGGTTCAGAGACGAACCAAGCTTTCTCCTCCGTTGAGGGGATGGAAGAGCCCGTGTCTACATACGTCGGGGAGAACGTTACGCCGAAAACTGTGTACAGGAAGTGGACAGGTTTGGTGGGGGTAGCGTTATGATGTGGGTGGCTACTCTCATCATGGCAGGACAGGTTTGGTCCATATCCAGGTCAATCTAACGGCTCAACGATGCATCAACGAAATTGCAGCCAACGGCAACGGTGTATTCCAGCAAGACAACGCTCGACCGCATACATCACGGATCACAAGAGCCTCTCTACACAACAACTTTGATGTTCCCCCCTCGCCCTGCAGACCCCCGGATTTGAACCCGATAGAGCAACCATGGGATGAATTGGATAGACGTCAACCAGAACCCCAGACGTTGGCTTTTGCGTTGCAAGCCGAGTGGGCTACCATTCCCTAGGATGCGATTCCCATACTCGTCTCTTCTATGGGCAGGATATGTCAGGCCGATGAAGGACGTACAGTCCCTGACTATTTGTCCTAATCATTTGCATCTTGTTAACAGTGAGTGGGTGTTGTACATTTTGAACATGGGCAACAAAACACTAAGCTTTTCCAACACCCTGGTTCGTTTTCAAAACATTTTGGAAACGTTATAACCAAATGTTCACAGAAAATGTTTCTAAAACGTTTCTGGAACCATACAAAATCACATGAATAAAACGTTTTCAAAAGCATTTCTGAAATATTTTACAAACAAATTATGAAACCTTACTGCCAAATAGTTCTGGAAAATGTTTCTAAAACGTTTCTGGAACCATACAATTTCACTTTGTAAAATGTTTTAGGGATGTTTTTATAACATTTTCGTGTTAGCTGGGGTGGAAACAAGCTGTTCCGGCAAATGTGAATGTTACTTACACAATAATGACAACAACTGCAAAGGGCGCTTTAAACCCTTTGCTAAGTAATGACAAACACAAGTATGGATGATGACAACATAATTTACATTCAGGCGACTCGTCGATGGAGATGCTGACGCCGTGATGATGATTGCGAGAGAGATTAATCAACAAACTGTACAAATGCTGGGAATACCTTGTGCACAATGGTCATAAGAGTAATATAATGGAGTCTGCTTAAGACTATATGATGCAAAAGGTTTAAAGCTGATTCTTTCAGCCTTCAAAAACATGTACTGTTATCGTTTCACAAAATCGAGGATCTTCTTAATCAAATAAATGCTCATTTGTTCATGTTTGTTTTAAAAGAAATCTAATTATGTGATAAATTATGATGTATAAAGTTATATATTTTAATAATTGGTAGTATATGATTATTAACTGAGATTGCAAGTGGCTGTACCCTTGATGGCGGTTGAAGGAGTGTAAAATTATTGTTCCCCTTATAGGGTATGAAAGACCACGTCTTCGAAAGTATATTTATTTCTGTGTTGTTTTAATGTTTGGCGAAATTTGTCCATCATCGCCAACAACTGAAGGGATCATTTAAATCCTGCTGGGGTTCATGCAGGTGGCACAAGAACTGTAAGTCCCCATGGTCCCTAGTGTGGTGATCTACCTTCAGTTGCTGGCGATCTATAGCCCATTTTTATATTGTGTTTTTGAATGCTAATTTCCTTTTAGATGCTCTCAAACTAGTTTTACATAGATTTGTGATATTCTAGTTATTATACTGTCCTTCGACGACAGAATTTTTATATTGTTTAAATATATATTATTAATGTCCAATTTTGTCTCGTCACGATATGGCTGAAATATTACCGAAATGACATTTAGGAGATAAACATTCTGTGTTTTCAATGTAAGCAAGGTTACCTGTAGATTTAACCGCGCTGAAATGAATTTGGAACCGAACGCGCAGCGTTGAGTCCAGTGTTTTGAGTGGGTCATCGATCTAAATTACGGAATCACCGCACAAAATATGGCGCTGTATATTCTCAAGCAGTTTGTTTACACCCTAATACTTCACTCGAACATATGACAGGCATTGAAAGCATATAAGCACGGCAACTTGGTAAGCTAACATGAGGTGGGCATCCTTTAAGAAAACAACGCAAGCTTTGCAAGGCTTTCGCTCTACATCGCACGTCACCATTATGATGTCATGTCGCTCACTGTGACACACAAGATTTGACGTCACAGTCGTATATAGAAAAGCGCCAAAATTCCAAGCTCTGTTGTCTCCAAAACGTAGATGCATTCCCTTTGTAGATTTCTATCGTGTTTCTGCAAGAAATGAATTGCCACACATCCTTTGAATATTGTAGTAACTGCATCTGTGCATTTTGTAACCTGTAATTGTAGATATAATTATTGAAATATGCCTACCGACAATGATTGAAAAAAGTGCTATTCTATGAATATTAGCTTCCGCGGTGATGCGACCATCAAACAAGATGTTTCAATCAGAGATGGGTTATTGTGATTTAATAGCCCCTGATTGACCAATCAGAATCGAGTAAATTCCAAATTCATGGCAGAATAAACTTTAACTCACTCACTAATCAGTGTATGGAATCAGAAGTGGTGTCACAGATTTGTTGACAAAATAAATTGTTTCTGCTTTGATTGTTTACCAATGTATTCGAGTGCCTTTGATTCGGCCGTAATCAGTTATCTGGTATTCGTGATGATATAGTCATGGATCCAATTAGAGTGGTGCTTCAACTACATCACCGTCCTTGGATCCATCTGTAAATATTGATTTGTATGTATTGTAAATGCTTTGAAATGCATTAAAGTCTTGTTGATAAATTAGTTGATTTGTTTGATGTATTTCTTCAGTTTAGTTAATTACTGACTGCCATGGTAGAGAAGACAAAAGATGAATGGAGGCTGAGTATAATTTACTAACAGAAATATCAGATTGTAGTCTTATTCCAAGTGGTGGAATAAGAAATAATCTTTTAAGAGATATTAGTAAATAGGATTACAAACACAGTCATACGCTGGATTGGATTTAGTGGAGCGTAATTTAGAGATATATTTAATGCGATGTTGTTTTGACGGATGGCCTCCACATACAAACTATGAATAGGCGACGGTCGAAGGGCCCTGAAGGGCCCTGATGATGAATAGTATCTAATAATTATAAATTGCTTTTACAAGCCCCACATTAGATGATGGAGCCGTAATCAAGTTCAGAGGAGATAAGTGCTCTGTATAGTTGGAGAAGGGTTTTCTGATCCCCTCCCCACTTTGAATCGGAGACAATTTTCAATAAATTTAGGGCCCTCAGGCACCTTCCTTTAAGGTGTTTAATATACGGACCGGTGGAAAGATAAAATGGATATCGAAAATATGTCCCAAGACCTTCAGGGTCCTTAATCGGCTTATTTTGTCTGCAGAAGTGTATACAGTTGGTTTGTAAATTAGAAAACTTAAAACCATTTTCAAGGGACAACTTGTTAATTTTATTGAGACATTATTGTTACTGCTTCTCTATTGTATGCATATTTTTAACACAATAAGAAATATTAAAATCATCCACGAAAAGTGATCCATCTACTAAAGCACTTAAAACCTTTGACAGACTCTATGTGTTGTTATGAGTGACGTTGTATATTTGTGTGGTTCACAAGGTCCAGTTGGGTGGACGGTGTCATGCTTGATTGAGTTAAGCAGCCTGTCTGACGGGGAGAAGCCTGGTTGTGGAGTGATAGGAGTTTGAGTAGGCTTGGTAACTGATTGGTGTAGGCCGATCAAGCTTCTGTTGTTGTGTGCTTACTTGGAAATTTGTTTACTATATGAGGGCAAGTTATCATATAAAAAAGGGGAAGGAAAAAGAATTGAAGAGGGAGAAATATGGTATAACTGAACGAGGGCATTTTAGCCCAGCGTTATGTCCGGAGACAAAGTTAGAGGTCCTGTCGATGCTTCGAAGGAGGAAACTGTTGTTATCCAGTTATCCTGTGAACTGTGATATATAAGTTTGGAAGAATGTGAGATTGAATACGTTGGGAATGTGATGTCAAGAAATCTGAGGTGACAATTATCTATATTGTACATTTGCCACATTGCTTTGCTTAAACAGACTAACTTTGTAACTAAGAATTGTTATATACTTATCTTTATTTTAATTATTGAGTCTAGCATTAAACCTCAGAGATTGTTGTGTGATTCTTGTAATGGTTATTCCTGGTATTAACGGGAACCCCTGCCGTTCATCCCACTCGTAACAATGTTTATACTAAATAAAGTGACATACAGCCTTGTTGGACACCCTGATCCTCATTATAATTATGAAACAGGGCGGAACCCACTCGGACTTGAAATTACCTGTCTGCTAAGAACTGTCATATAAAATGTTTTAACGACCTCTCAAACCAAAATCATGTAAATCCTTTAAAATGCCATGCTTCCAGGGGGTATCGTATCCTTTGGCAAGATCAAAGAAAATTGATACCACGTGTTGATTGTTTTCTGTAGCATTTTTTACAAAGGATTCTAATCGCACTAAATGGTCCATTGTACTTCTTTTTTTTTACATTGAATATTTGTCATAAGGTTATTGGTTTCCAGATACCGAACTAACTATGCAACGAAGGAGGAAAATTCATTGAAGTGCATATTTGGTCAAATTTATCTAACTCTGTCTCAAGATGTGATTCAGGAAAATGCTTCAATAACTGATTATGGATATTAGCATCACCTGCTGCAGTATCATTAGCTTACTCAAGAGTGGTATGTAACTCATCTAATGAAAATACTTCAGTGTAATCTTCACCGTTATTAGAATCAAAATTTAGATATAATGTAGTCAAATGCATCGGTAAATAATTTATCACCTTCCCTAAGATGGATTACAGAAGATTTTGAAGCTGTGCCTTTTAGTTTTTAAACCATGTTCCACATCTTGGACATGAGTGTATGTGAATTAATTTTGGAGACATATTTCCTCTAAGATCGGCGCTTTTTTGTTAATGAGCAACTCATCTACAATTTTAAAAACAAATAAGTATATAAATATTGTAAAACAAATTCAATTAATAACAAAAATGACGACACTAGACGATGGACACAGTTTATAGGAATAGAATATTTGATAGATATTTTATTTGATTACTGGTGTGTATATTATTGCAATTGAGTAAGTCATTGGTTTATAGATGGCAGATTTGTATTTGGTATGTTTCAAATAATAATCAGAATTGAAACAAATAGAAAATCAGATGTAAGCGTTAATATTCTTACGTGTCGATTCCCAAATGGCAACAAGATGTTATCCCCGAACTCTGTACGTAAAAGAATTTTGTTTGAGCCAACCAACAAACAAACAATTGTATACAATTAACAATTGTATTACAAAATTAACTAGAATTCCAAATCAATATAGATTTCTGCACAGCAATTACAATGGCAATACACAATAGAGTGGTAGTACAATATGCAATGGCGATATATAATATGATGATTGTGGTCAGTATCAAATATAAAAACAGTGGTGATAGCAAATGTCAGTGGAAATAACATATTCACTCAGAAGCGACAGTGGTCAAGCTTCCGAGACAGTCCTAGACTTGGAATCCGGGGTGATAAATGATCTTCACACGAAAGCTGGTCTTGATGTAATGAAATGTGAGATGAGACAGGGACGCGCCCGCTTATATACCCCAAACAGCTTCCAGAACTTTCCACACAGCCCCATCCAATCGCAGACTATTCAACATGTTTCAATACCGCTCCACATCAGTCCACATTGTTCCGGGAGTTTAAACACCACAGTAGCATCATAATATAGTAAATTCCTCACAACAATCACTTTTTCATAATACATTACACTGCCATATAACAATATTGATATAAATACTTAAAATCTTATTTTTCTTACTGCATGTTGTATCTCCTTCAGTCATCAGTAAATATGTAACGTCAACAATAGAGAATAATCAGTTACGATAATCCGCAGAATATCTTTGTTGCTTGACACCGCACAGCAGTACGTACTCCTGTCTTGCGTAGGCGGCATGTACCACAATCGAGTCTTGGCCAGACAATCAAGTGATGAACCAGACAATCCAGTGACAATTTAGCGAATTTACTGATTATAATGTTCAATAACGACTGTTGTGTACAAGGGCAGAGGTTGGGCTGCTTATAAGTAAAGGAAAAGCGTTTGAGAAATATGTTTCTGGGGTATATTATATGAATATGGAAAGGGTCTAGTCGCTTTTTTTACTTTTGGTGTTATGCACTTCAATGTTGCTCTCATAACAATTGAAGGGAAGTCATCTGCTGATGGCTTTTGTTTCAATAGCACAACAGTTTGACTCAGAACATGTGACTCCACAGACCAATAACTGATTGTACATTGCAACTGTTGATTTGTATTTATGTATTCCAGAAAAAAAGAACACTTGTTGAGTAAATTTTACAAGATGAGCTCACCATCTCTCCAAGAATCATATGACAGCGATAACACAGGGGAGGTAGCTCCAGACCTCGATGACTCGGGCAGCACCTCGGGAAGTGACGTGGAGGGGGAGGAGGAGGAAGAAAAGGCGGTGTGTATAAACAATGACTTTGACCCTGGTTTGGAGGCCCTGTACCAGCAACAGAGTTCTCGTAAGACGATCACAGAAGACCAACTGAGGACAGATGAAGGTTTACCAGGTGGAGCTGACTGTGCTGCTGTGATGCTAGGTGACAGGGACGAACTAACAACCACAGATGATGCAGCTGAAAATTGCCACTGCGACAGTGGAAAGACGCACCGATCACGATCTCCTTCGTGTTTGCAAGGGGCCGTGGCAATAACGCAAGGTGTGTTTATTTCATATATTTCAGGAAAGTCAGTCATTCTCAAACAATAGACTAAGTTTTGTTTTTTTTCTATTGCAGTTGAAGGACAACACTTGTCACGTGCTATAGAAGAATCAGTCAGCAACGCGTTGTCATCAGTGGATACAGAACGGCGTGTAACAAATATAGGTATACGTGTGGATTTTGGTGTATCAAAATCAAGTAGAATTGTCTGAATTGTATTCCACTGCAAATACGATGACACCGTTTTTCCGTTTGTAGTCATTGGATGGAAAAACGACAAAACATTCATTAAAAGTGATTAATTTGTGAGCGTCCAGACAGTATCCGAATTCCTTTATAGTATAACTCACCATTGCATTTATAAATGTATGAGTGTGTAGCATTGAGTTGGCATTTCTTAATGCACCCTCTTGTAACATCACATGCCCGGCAGGCAAATTCGGGAAAAGTGTTATTTTGTTAAAAAAAAAAAATCATATTTTCTTAAAGAGGTATTTGTGGATTGCATTTAATGCAATAATATAAAACAAAACATTAAAACATGTTTCCATTTATTGGACCTATTATAGCTAAATACAGGTTACTTCCACACAGACGTAAAATAAGTTATTAGTTTTAAACATTGAAACATATTGTAATATGAATTGGGAAATTATTATTTTCAAATTGGGAATTTTCAATGACATTTGCTGCAGACTTGGGGCCAGATGTCGGCAGGTGTAAACTCCTGCATCATTGTTGTTTACCTTCCGGGGAAATGTATCTCCTGGTTGTTGCTACTGGAACTTATACACAAGAGACTGACTAGCTTAAATCACATTGCTACAACGAACGTATTTCTGGTGTGCACATGTATGTTATGTTACATTTATTCTTTGTCTCATTTTGATTCGAAACGTCCACAAAGAGATATACACATGCACGAACTGTCAACGCTCGATATCGAGCTACTGAAGCACAAGTATTACGCAATTAACTTTCTCTGAAGACAAAATACATAAAGTTACATACGGAGATGGTTCTGGAATAGGACTGACAAGACAGTGTTTTATATTTACTTGGCAAATCTATTGGTATGCAACCCGTGTGCAAGGTATCCAAATCCTTTCAGTAATCAACAACCCACAGGTCCACTTAACAAAGAAAACAGAGGTCGCCAACCTTAACGCACGATATGCAACAGTGGGAGGTCAACAGGTGATCCAGCCATCAACGTCCACTGACGGTAGAGAAAGACAACAGAACGATGAAACAAGACCAAGAAGTAAATTAGACATTTTTTGTTACGTTCTATTTGATGTTAAGTAAGAGAACCTATCGAAGTGTATCAGCTGAAACATCAAACGAATACTATCGTGTATTGTCTGACACCACGTTTGGTTGGTTAGTTCGTTGGTTTGTTGGTTAACGCCGCACTCAACAATATTCCAGCTGTATGACGGCGGTCTGTAAATAATCGAGACTGGACCAGATGATCCAGTTATTAATATCATGAGCATAAATTGGGATCGATGACATGCATCAACCAAGTCAGAGAGCCTGACCACCCGATCCCATTAGTCGCCTTTTACGGCAAGCATAGGTTGCTGAAGGCCTATTGGTTGGTCAAATCGCTCCGAGCCATTAAAATTGTTTATTTTCATAATCCACAGCAACACTTCTACTCTTGCTGTAATTCATACTGATCAATAGGGGGCACGAGGGGGAATTCGCTGTGCAGAGTTGCGTCCCTTGGGCACGCCAGAAACCTATGATTGTGGGTTCCAATCCCGGTTCGCCTCAATTATGTTTCCAGGTTTGTCAGCACAATACCCGTGCTCGTGGGTTTCACTGAAGTGATGAACGTCTAAGACCTGCATCACCTCGGGCTTTCCTCCCACATTAAGGTGACACGCCGTTATATAGCTTGAATACTGTTAAAAGCGGGGTTAAACCCAACTCACTCTCTCACTACTGATCAATATTTGTGATAGGCCTGGGAATGCGTCGTGTACAACGTGATGAACGTTATCAATGGCTATTGGAATGCTTCAAAATGGTTGGAGCCAGCGAGAGGTAGCCAATATGTTTCAGATTTCGGCAGGGCGGTGGGTTAGCCAAGTGGATAAAGCGTTCGCTCGTCACACCGAAGACCCGACTTCGATTTTGGGTTCAATGTGTGAAGCCCATTTCTGGTGTCCCCGCCGCGATATTGCTTCAATAGTGCTTAAAGCTGCGTAAAACCACACTCGTTCACTTACTCACTCGACAGACAGGTCGACAACGCATGTCGATTAATCAGAAACCAGGCATTGAAAAATCGAGTGCGTGAGGATGATTTCACGTCCTTTTTAACAATATTCCAGTGGTATCACAGCGGGGGACACAATGTACCTGTGTGGGGAATCGAACCCAGGTCGTTGGCGTGACGACCGAAGGCTTTAACCACAAGGCTACCCAACCGTCCTTAAAAAAATAGAACCCAAACAGCCAATCAATTCTTTGATCACCCGAGTTACAGGCACATCGGCAAACGTCGCCAGACGTCAATGGTATTAGAGCGTAGACCTTGGCCTCGCGAAATGTTTCGCATTCACTCTGACTTTCTTGATAGGCGTGGACGTATTTTGAGGCCCGTTAACGAATGTCATGGGAACGTCAATGTAAGGCAAGATGATTAATGTGGTGTGGGTCTTTACATTTTGAGACGTGATCACCATGACTGTCAAAACGTCAATTGATATTGTAGTTAAATATTGCTTAAAGCTGCGTAAAACCACACTCGTTCACTTACTCACTCGACAGACAGGTCTACAACACATGTCGATTAATCATAAACCAGGCATTGAAAAATCGAGTGCGCGAGGATGATTTAACGTCCTTTTTAACAATATTCCAGCGGTATCACAGCGGGGGACACCAGAAATGGGCTTTACACAATGTACCTGTGTGGGGAATCGAACCCAGGTCGTTGGCTTGACGACCGAAGGCTTTAACAACAAGGCTACCCAACCGCCCTTAAAAAAATAGAGCCCAAACAGCCAATCAATTCTTTGATCACCCGAGTTACGTATTTTGAGGCCCGTTAACAAATGTCATGGGAACGTCAATGTAAGGCAAGATGATTAATGTGGGGTGGGTCTTTACATTTTGAGACGTGATCACCATGACTGTCAAAACGTCAATTGATATTGTAGTTAAATATTGCTTAAAGCTGCGTAAAACCACACTCGTTCACTTACTCACTCGACAGACAGGTCGACAACACATGTCAAAACGTCAATTGATATTGTAGTTGTGTCATTTGCCAGTAGGTGTGCCTTTTGCGCCGTGCTGGTCCACGTTTTGTCTTTTAAGACGATGTCGCTCGTCACTTCAGTGCACATATTGTAACTGACTTCATCCAGCAGCAACGTACCAGAATGCAATGCCTAGTCATGATCACTCGATACGTCTTTTTATTTCTGTAAACATCAGTTATTTTAGATTCATAGTAAGTACAGTAAGTCACTTGACTTGCCTTGTAGACATGTCATGTCGATGTTGCTATTGAACGGATCATGACTAGGGCTATTAAATCACCTTTCGATCACAGAAAGTTTTAGCCCACCAGGACAGGGTGTCCAAGTGTACTTATGTTGCAGTGTTTTGTACGTTGTCTGCCCTTCAACTGTTAACCGTCCGTTAACATTCATTTTAAAACTTCATTTGTTCATAGCATCAAAGTAACCAAACAAAAGCATTTATACACCAAGGTAATCCACATAAAGCAGACCTTCTTTGATGTCAGTTATGTGTTGTTCAAAGCTGCATTTAGCTGATATTCATGTCAGTTCAAAACAATATCCAATATTCTTGATGTGAACTAACATTTGGCGTTTATTTCATATGAAACTACACCTTGTAACATGACCATCGTGAATTGCCGTATGCACAAGCACCATTGCCATGATTGCGATGATCGGATTTGCAAATATAAGCCCTACTTCCGAAGTTGATGCTTGCTCATAGTGTATTTCAAATGTATTTCTGACTATTTTCTATCCTTATTTACAAGGGTTTGAAATATGAATATTCTCTTGGGTGAGGAGACATTTGTAAATTTGTAAATTCTCATTTATTTTAATGCCTTAGAAACTTACGTTAATTTCGGATATCAAGGGTATTTTATTGCATAGTATTTATGTGATCATATTACCGGTACTAACACAAGATGATCATAGCCGTTCCACTCTGTGAAATACTGGTGGCTAACCGAATCACTATCATGCAAGCTGACACGTTCCCATTACGTCATAGTAATGTAAGTGCAAAGGTCACCGAATGTCAAAGGTCACCACATGCTTTCGTGAGAAAAAAACAATTACAGTAAATTTTGAAATATTTCGCATGTCCGGTGACCATTGCACTTACTGAAATATTGCTGTCAGATTCTAGATCTTTATTTTCGTTTTTCTCTCGTCATAATAAATTGAAAATGACACATTGAATATTTTTCGAATGTGAAGATCTTCAACTTTCGCGAAGGCATATCGCGAGGCAATGTAAACTTTGTTCATAATGAAATAGCAATAACTAATGCTGAGGTCAGACGAAGCGCGCCAAGCTTGATTTTCGTACGTCTGCAAGCATTACGACACGTGATTTGTTTTCCGTATACAGTAAATATTCCACCAAAACACTTGAAATTAGGATTGGTGAATATATGTAATTCATTTATTGTTTCCTGAAAAATTTCTAACATGACACTAATGTTCTAATTTCTGAAACTGACATGATGACCTCGAACATGAAGTATTTATTGCATAATACATTTACTGAAATGGCTCATAATTTATTTGCCGATAAAAAAAGCGAATATATATTCAGCTAAAAGATATGGGAGATATGATTATTGAAATCAGTTTGCACAAATTTAACGATTTTAGCAGGTTCCTACCAAGAAGCGCATACCCCATTCAATAACGTAATCAAGTAAGTTCGAGAGAATTTACAAATCTTCGCTTTTGTCATAACTTTGGTATGATTGAAAACATCAGTATATTTTTATCAAATCATGTGTAGTTTTCTAGGAATAAATATGCCAAATATTTCTTCAATTGTCCCTTGTTAGATGAAGCACCGCCTATTTGAAATCGTCCACCCTCTCAACAAACCAGGGTCCCACTAGAACAGAGAGGTGGCCTTAAACGGTTTTTTTTATTTTAAACAATTCGAAACAAGTTTCTGATACAACATATTAAGGCATGAGAACGCGCTTACATTCTCGGACAAGGATAAAGCATAGTTACCAATTTGGCGTCTTCTGAGGAGAGGAATTCGAAGTTCCGGCAACTAATATAAAGACAGAGATCATACTAGATTACTAATTATAAGCTGAGATAATGAAAATAATTAGGTCATGAAATTAATTTCAACTCGCAGCCTTGAATTACTAAATTTTACATTGCCTGGGACCCTAGCTTCAATGGCTGGAGTATGCAAATACTCATTTTTGGCGAAGGATTAAAGTCATACTGTTAAATTTAGATTTTTACTTTTTGGACGTGTGTTCTTGAAATGCATGACGTAGTGGTTTCCTTAAACTGCTGATATATGCTACTTCAGCATCTCAGTATCTTCAGTGGACATTTCACAAATTTGAAAACAAATTTTGAGGAATAGATTGAAACAACATTTCTTGTGATATGGCGAGGAAAGGTCACAAAATCACTTATAAAGATATCCTTCTTTTATGAATACGTGTAGGTCCCTCGGATATTACCATTCATGTTTGGGTTTCAGGTTTGTGCGTGCCGTCAGAAAGTAAACGTTATTCTGTGGAAAATAAAAAAAATCCCAGAATGAAACATGTAGGATGGTTATAGCATCCGAATGAATTTGGTGACTGACGTAAACATTGCATATTATTGAATGTTCAGATCGTTTATGACTTTGAAGTTCCTATGTAAACACAAACTAAGATTAGAATCAAACTGCATCACAGCAACCTTGAAGTGAACATTAGGTTTGGCAGAATTTAAAGCTATCATTTTGTGTCACACGTTAATTCACACTGTTTTCTGAATATATGTGCTTCATACGAACCCGGCGTGATAAATGTATTGAATTTGCAGCTGTAAAATAACATTGTTAGAAAGTAAACATAGAGTCCAAAACAACATTGCTATGATAGAAATGGCAGACGGAAATGTTCCTAAATATTTCATCTCAATGACGAGAAAAGTCATTTTCCACTGATGATGAATATATGTCAGTGATGTTAACTAACCAACCATGTTAAACATATCATGATTTATTTGACATACTTTTCAGGGACCCCAAAAGACCCAGCAGTACAAAGGATAAGAGGTACGTATGATACCTTATTGTTAACGATATGATGACAGTTGACACGAAGTCGTGAGTATGTTTGATCAATAATTCTTAAATGAATGAAAGTCAGAGTTCTGTTTCTGTTTGGTACATTAATCTTGGCAGCTTAATCACGAGAAATGGCAAGACCATATTATAACAAAGTGCTGTAACTTATGTTACTTCAATGGTGATACTATTTTACTCATTTGCATCTCACAGATGAGACAGTTTCAGATATCCATACGTGGACATCTGGCATGATCAAAACAGAGTTTGTTGATGACATCGTGAAGAAGATGGACGCTGGACAAAACTGGATCACAGTCACCGGAAATGCTGGTGATGGGAAGACAACAGTGGCCTACATGGTGCTTCATGAGATGATGAAACGAGGGCGAGAAGTGTTTCGAGTGAAGACAGTGGCGCAGTATCACACCATCACAAAGAATACCCACCGATGTGTCCTCATGATGAACGATGTCATAGGGGCCTTTGCTCTTGATAAAATAGCATTCAGCAAATGGAAACCTGTCATATTCGATGTCATGGAAAACATATCAAAGGCAAAAGAATCTGGGCAGCGAAGTGGAGTCATTTGTATGTTGGTGCAAAGATCAAATATCCTAAATGAAGTTGAGCCTTGTCTTGAAAAACATAAACGTTCCATTCTTGGGGTCGATGCTGTCACAAACCTATCGTGTCTGCCTGTAGAGGAGAAGGCTCCGATGCTAGACTATCATCTGAAACAGAAGAATATTAAAGACATACCAGAAACTGAAAAATTAAAAGTGATTCAGAGCAGCATACCATATGGATTTCCACATTGTTGCAAGCTGTTTGCTGAGATGAAGTCGGAGGAGAAATGTGTTGACATTGCACAATTTTTCTCCCACCCTCTTGAGATTTTGGATGCCACGACTGATGTGTATCTGGATAATGAAAAAGTAAAAGATGTGTTCAAGACTCTCTTGAAAAGAGATGGGCGACTTGATACCAGTGAGATAGAAGACGATGACCAGCGCAGTGGTATCATTGAAGTATCGGCTCCATTAATTGGTAGCTATCTGTCAAACACCAACGGAGTAATAACATTTTCCCATCCATCAGTTTATGAAAGTGTTGCAAACTGCATAGGGAAACATGATGTGGTGTTCGCGATCAAATATTTTGGTTTCTCTTTTATAATGGAGAAAATGCGGTTTGCAGAGTCACAAAGCCATGACAGTACAGTTTCAAGAAATGTCTTTAAAATATCGCCAAACCAACAGAACATCCAACGTCTTTGCGACAGGTTCACTCTTCCAGTGTTACACGGACGCTTTAATGTGCTTCGTCATCCCTTTTTTCAAAGCGAGAACTTTTGTCGGATCTTCTTTACATCCATCATTGAAAGGGATAGCTTTTGGAATAATTTCATCTGCTTGTGCTGCAAGGTAACTAATTACGTAACGTACCTTATCACAGTTACGTTTCAGAACCTTTACACCATATTTTCACAATGTTTTATCCGGGATATTTTAGAAGACATGTTTGCCAAGGTACGCAAGTAAACGTCTACGGCCTATATTACTCCATGCTTCCCTCCCACATCAAGCTGGCACGTTATGAGATGACTAAAATACTGACGTGTTCAATGCATCATTTAACCAACTCACTCGCCCACTTACGGACAGCCTGAGTTTTTATCCGGATCATATAATATATCCATCTTTTTTTTGCTGAAATCAACTGATGATCTGATGAAAATTCATATCGTGAGGATGTTTAGGTTCAATGATGTCCTTAAGGTTTGTTTGTAGGTTGTTATGCGTGAACACAACTTTAATTTTAACATCATCATCAATTAATGTATTCGCCCCTATTTTGCAGCAAACAGGCAGACTGTCTATCGATGACAGGAATGAAGACGGTGAGACTATGTTGTTACAAGTTGCACAGTGTTGTAACACTACATCTATCCGTATCCTCTTGGAATGTGGAGCAAGTGTAAATCGGGAAACCACGAACATGAAGACAGCACTTCACTATCTGTGTGAGAGTGGTGATGTTGATGCTAGTGTTGTAGAACTGATGATACAACATGGCGCTGATGTTAACAAGGCTGATGTCTATGAAAAGACAGCATTTCACTATTTGTGTGCGAGTGGTGATGTTGATGCTAGTGTTGTAGAACTGATGATACAACATGGCGCTGATGTTCACGAGGATGATTGGTATGGAAAGACAGCACTTCACTATCTGTGTGCGAGTGGTGGTGTTGATGCTAGTGTTGTAGAACTGATGATACAACATGGCGCTGATGTTAACAAGGCTGATGATTTTGGAAACACAGCATTTCACTTTCTGTGTGCGAGTGGTGGTGTTGATGCTAGTGTTGTAGAACTGATGATACAACATGGCGCTGATGTTAACAAGGCTGATATGCGTAGAAAGACAGCATTTCACTATCTGTGTGAGAGTGGTGGTGTTGATGCTAGTGTTATAGAACTGATGATACAACATGGCGCTGATGTTAACAAGGCTGACAGAGATGGAAAGACAGTACTTCACTATCTGTGTGAGAGTGGTGGTGTTGATGCTAGTGTTGTAGAACTGATGATACGACATGGCGCTGATGTTAACAAGGCTGATACGCGAAGAAAGACAGCATTTCACTTTCTGTGTGAGAGTGGTGGTGTTGATGCTAGTGTTATAGAACTGATGATACAACATGGCGCTGATGTTAACAAGGCTGACAGAGATGGAAAGACAGTACTTCACTATCTGTGTGAGAGTGGTGGTGTTGATGCTAATGTTGTAAAACTGATGATACAACATGGCGCTGATGTTAACAAGGCTGACAGAGATGGAAAGACAGTACTTCACTATCTGTGTGAGAGTGGTGGTGTTGATGCTAGTGTTGTAGAACTGATGATACAACATGGCGCTGATGTTAACAAGGCTGATGTCTATGGAAAGACAGCATTTCACTATTTGTGTGCGAGTGGTGATGTTGATGCTAGTGTTGTAGAACTGATGATACAACATGGCGCTTATGTTAACAAGGCTTACAGAGATGGGAAGACAGCACTTCACTATTTGTCTGAGAGTGGTGATGTTGATGCAAGTGTTGGAGAACTGATGATACGACATGGCGCTGATGTTAACAAGGCTGACAGAGATGGGAAGACAGCACTTCACTATTTGTCTGAGAGTGGTGGTGTTGATGCTAGTGTTATAGAACTGATGATACAACATGGCGCTGATGTTAACAAGGCTGACAGAGAGGGAAAGACAGTACTTCACTATCTGTGTGAGAGTGGTGGTGTTGATGCTAGTGTTGTAGAACTGATGATACGACATGGCGCTGATGTTAACAAGGCTGATTGGTGGGGAAACACAGCATTTCACTATTTTTGTGCGAGTGGTGATGTTGATGCTAGTGTTGTAGAACTGATGATACAACATGGCGCTATCCATTCAAGTAAGAATAAAGACTAGAGTGTAAGAAACCACTGGGAAATTCCACCTATAACCGCTTTTGAAACAGTATTTAGTCAAGATGAATCAGTGCCTATTCATTTCTTTTATACCATGTGTCACTGTTATCCTGCTTCGTGTATATCCGTTGAATTAATAGAAACTAGAGGTGTGTCATCACTTACAATGAGACTATATATCAGAGCGTCTCCACCGAGGCCACAAACTTCTCTGAAATTAATTAATTAATATCGTATTTTCCTGAAAGAAAACTATTTTGTTATGGTTGTTATGTCATTGGCATGCCATTGGTTGTTTACAGCAAACTTATCCCTAGCTCCTAAACCATGGTATTTCCTTTTCGGAATAGGGCGGTCGGGTAGCCCAGTGGTTAAAGCGTTCGCTCGTCACGCCGAAGACCCGGGTTCGAATCCCGACATTGGTACAATGTGTGAAGCCCATTTCTGGTGTCCCCCGCCGTGATATTGCTGGAATATTGCTAAAAGCGGCGTAAAACCATACTCACTCACTCACTCCTTTTCGGAATAGAGTTTGTCTGTATTTGATTCTTACTAGATAATGTGTGGCATTTCCATTTTTTCGGAATAGAAATAAAACCTTCTATAATGACTATTATAACTGCATCAATTATAATTACAGTATGCAGTATCAGACAGTGTATATACATTATAAACAACTATATATATATATTGCCTAATGATGCCAAATCAGAAGAAATACTAGTACTGCATGCGTAATGCATGCGTTTAAACATTTACAGAGAATGCATAGTTGTATCTTGAAGGATTACTACTGAACAACAATGTTATTGTGAAGTTTCATTCAGCATAGCAACAGCATATGTCAACTAATCTGTAATTACAAAACATGCCAGAAGTGTGTTGTTGCGACATATAGGTAAACATTGCCTGGTTCAAAATATTCAATAGATTGGTTGCAGCTGGCATTTGTTATTTTCGATTTCTACTTATTTAGTTATGATCATATGTGACACGCATGGAAGTTGTACAGTACACAATACAATTATGATTACCCTTTTCGCGAACACCTGGTATCATCACTGATTTTCAGAGGTCCATTCATGACATTTCCACAGCTGTTTCAGCGAAAAAACAAGACTGATTATTCTCTTGCATTTGCATTTGATATGTACAATGCAATCAAAATCTTCAAAATACTACTCATGTGATTATAATTCTGAATTGTAACTAAAACCATCATTATAATGATAAGTCATCATTTATGAATTTGTCATCAAACGCACATTAATTTGTCATTACAAGTATTTATGTTTTCGGAAGTCTCTTTCAGCGTGTGTACAATGGTTGTGGAGAAATAATACCATGAACCTCACTTTCACAAACGGACAATCAATAGAACAAAACAGACAAATCCTCAACAATTGACAGATTTACAAAAGAGTTGTTGCAATGGTTTTTAAATCAATTTTGAATTAGATGGCACGTGATGTTATAACTGTCTGCATATGGTTTCTAACATGTTGGGTCATATCTCATCAACTCGACCATCGCCTTGTATCTCATAAAAGTAACGACCATGATGAGAATGTTTGCTAGGGTATATATAAGGGAAGGTTGTCGGTGAAATGGGTCGTTTTGAGACGTGAGTTTTGTCTACATTATGTTACACAACTCTGTTATACTCTTTAGTGCATAATTAGTTTGTATATAATGTATTTGGATAGATTTAAGGTTGTATTATATTATTCCTATTTTGTATATAAGGAATAGATTATCATGATAGCAGTAATTGTGTTTATGTAGGCACAGGTCGTTATATGTTAGCTTATGAATATATAGTGTTGAAATGATCATGAATAAGATATTCCTGACGTTATGGTCGAAGATATTGTGATGTGAAAATATTTGTGCATTAGAAGATGGTTTGAGATAAACAATGAGTTAGTGCTACCTGTTTATATGTCTGGTTTAGACACCGAATATTCCAGTACTCTTATGATTGAACTTCATACCACGTTAGCCTTGGATAGGATTGAACATGTCCCGTTTCACCTCCAAGAGGAGCAGGTTAGGATGCCGGAGAAGCCGTGTACCACCACAGGAGTCCAGGGGGAGTCCGGGAACCAACCCAGCTACTTAACAGGAGGTCAGAGGTCGCCACTGTCGAGGGTCAGAGTTGTAGCTGACAACTGTATTTTTCAGGTATGTCGATGACATAACGGAGACACAGAGGAACTGTTCACCTTTGTGTGTGTGGCATTCGGCGATCATCAGAGGGTGAGGAATAGTATATGTATGTCGTATGTGTGTGCGACATGGACGTGTACTATGTGTATATTGCCTAGCTCAGGATTCATTTGATGAGTGACATCACCCTAACCACCAGAAACTGTGACATCAGGAACTGTAACGATCAGAAACTGTGACCATCAGGAACTGTGAACATCAAAACTGTGACATCAGAAACTGTGACATCAGGAACTGTAACGATCAGAAACTGTGATCATCAGGAACTGTGACCATCAAAACTGTGACATCAGAAACTGTGACATCAGGAACTGTGACATCGGGAACTGTGACCATCAGGAACTGTAACCATCAGAAACTGTGACCATCAAAACTGTGACATCAGAAACTGTGACATCAGGAACTGTGACATCGGGAACTGTGACCATCAGGAACTGTAACCATGAGAAACTGTAACCATCAGGAACTATAACATCAGAACCTGTAACCATCAGAATATGTAACCATCAGAAATTGTAACCACCAGAAATTGTAACCGCCAGAAACTGTAAACATCAGAAACTGTGACCATCAAAAACTGTAACCATCAGAAACTGTAACCATCAGGAACTGTAACCATCAGAAACTGTAACCATCAGGAACTGTGAACATCAGAAACTGTGACCATCAAAAACTGTAACCATCAGAAACTGTAACCATCAGGAACTGTGAATATCAGAAACTGTAATCATCAGAAACTGTAAACGTCAGAAACTGTAAACGTCAGGAACTGTAACCATCAGAACTGTAACCATCAGAAACTGTAACCGCCAGAAACTGTAACCACCAGGAACTGTAACATCAGAACCTGTAACCATCAGAACATGTAACCATCAGAAATTGTAACCATCAGAAACTGTAACCATCAGGAACTTTAACATCAGAACATGTAACCATCAGAACATGTAACCATCAGAAAACTGTGACATCAGGAACTGTAACCATCAGAAACTGTGACATCGGGAACTGTGAACTCCAGAACCTGTAACCATCAGAAACTGTAACCATCAGAAACTGTAACCATCAGGAACTTTAACATCAGAACCTTTAACCATCAGAACATGTAACCATCAGAAACTGTAACCAACAGGAACTGTAACCATCAGGAACTGTGACATCAGAAACTTTACGAGTGATTGTTGTAATAAATATGTTTAGTGGTGTGTTATTGTCTTTAGTTTAGTACAGTTGTGCCTAGTTTAAGGTAGTAAGGATGGTTAAGTGACTGTCCATATGATAGTAAAGAAATTCCTGTTATTGTGGGAGTAATAAACTTGTTAAAACAAATGCTGTGGATGTTGTCAGTTGCTTGGTAACCATTGTGGACATATGTTGTCGTTTCTTTCTTAAAGAACAAAAACAGGCTTGATTTGAGCCTAGTGTACCCCTGATGTTCTGAATATCCCATAGTTTCTGTTTTTACCTTTCTATATGAAACGTACGCTGATGAGACCGCCAAACTTTAATATAGATAATGTTTCTCATAAACTTTAATTCGGAACATTTTACCGAAATAGTGATAAAGATAGGATTCTGTTTCCGGAGTTATGGGTTATCAAAATACACAATTGACATTGAAAAAATACATGTTTATCTCGGATCTTTTATATCCTTTTAAAGTCATATTTGATAAAGGGGCCGCTTCTAGTTGGTTCACATTGGGTACTTCAGTAGTCGTAGATGGTCTGTGTGCGAAGTATTTTATTATTTCCCTTACCTGTACCAGGATGCGCTGATCACTGTTTTGAAATTCAAATATATGACCCTTTTTCTGTGGGCACCAGGACCTTGTACCAGGTAAACATCTAAGACACGCGACACTTCGGCATTTCCTCCTTACAACTCCCTACACTCACATAACAGTTTGTATATACTGCTCATGTGTTTGTTCAGGGAGCATCTCTGATTTCAGGCAGGTATAGATATATATTTTCGAGCGCTTCATAATGTAGAATGATTGTTGGAAATACGGGTGGAGGTCTGAGCTGGTTGGTTGGTTTCTTTGTTGTTTAACGCCGCACTCAGCAAAATTCAAGCTGTATGACGGCGGTCTGGAAATAATCGAGCCTGGAACAGACAACCCAGTGAATGACAACATAAGCATCGATCCACACAGTTGGGATCGATGACACTGCATCAACCAAATCAGCGTGCCTGACCATCCGATCCCGTTAGTCGCCTCTTACGACAAGCACAGTGGCCTTTTACGGCAAGCATTGGTTGCTGAAGACCTATTCTACCCCGGAATCTTCACGGGTCTCACAATTCAGTGTGTTGCATCAATGGGGCTGCTATCTCTAGAACAGCTCTGCATGTGGTACCACTAACCATTAGAAATGGTGGAAGAATTCTGAAGACGTACGCTTTCCTTGATCATGGCAGCACCAACTCCATTAGTTCACAAGAACTATTTGACATGCTTAAACATTGAAGGAATTAAGATCTCTCTGTCACTAACTACACTCACCAATGAGAACTGCCACTCTGAAACAACCTTTGAGGCCTTAGATATTGCTGATATCAATGTGAGAAATCACATGAAGTTACCGAAGTTACACACGGGTACAGAAAACACTCCAGTGCACTGTTGTGTTAGATTTATGGCCTGCATTATTCCCCCAAATAAGACTGTAATACTCTTGTTATTTTACTGACCTTTGATGACAGGTATTTTAGAAAGTCAGAGCAACCTCCTCGTGGTGAGTGCTGGGTAGCGCTAATAGCTCTTCCCCCGTGTGGAACCGGGGTAGAATAATTCCACAGCACCCCATTGCTGGTCGTAAGAGGCGACCAAAGTGGGCAGCCCGTTTGCCGTGGGTTGCGTCCCTGTGTCGGCGGAGGACGGGAGTCTGGTAGTTGAGGGCACTGGTTCCTGGAACTGCGTTCCTTTGCCCAACACACTACTTCGACCCTTACTTCGCCTAGACGGGTGGTAAGATGGGCCCGGTCTTATCAATCGGCTGGTCATGCCAGGCCCTGTGCGTAATATTGTATATACATACCTGTGTTGTATTTTCATGTATATTTTGGTCTTGGCCATGCATAACTTGTATGAGTTCTCAATTTTTGATTGAATAAATTGCCTAGAGTCTTACGCCAGAAGGCGGTGGCTCATGGGCCAATCTGGTGATGTTGACCTCCAAATTCAGTATGTATCCGATTACTTGTCATGGGCCGAACCAGCCTGGCATTTAATTTGGTATACAAATATTGCTATTTGCGTCATACTTGCTGGAGTATATCATCCCTGTATCCCTGGTGTTTGCATGTTGGAGATCCGGTGCAACACAACATCGCTCTTTGTGGCACTCCATGGTGGGTGGGGAGCAGGGGTGCTGAATTACTATATTTCACCATGTCGCACAAATACCCTGGTTCAACCCGTTCAAAACGTAGACATGTCGATCTTGATGACATTGATCAAAATGATCAATTATCTCGTGGCTTAGATTCATGGGCTCGCTTTATTGTGATTGAGGCAGCTGACAAACAACCCATTAAACTTAATCCATTCGCCATTTCCAAAGCTGTCTTAGGAATTTGCGGCGAAGTGAAGAATGTGACACGTCTCCGTAGTGGCTCTCTCCTTGTTGAGTGCTCACGGAAGCAACAATCTCTCAACTTGTTGTCCATAACCACATTTGCCAATATTGAGGTTGATGTGTCCCCTCATAAAACCTTGAATTCTTGCCGAGGCATTGTTCGAGACAGAGCTCGTTGCCTGTCCGACATGTCAGAGCAAGAAATTGCAGACGAATTAAAATCTCAAGGAGTGACAGGAGTAAAACGTTTTACAATGAAATCTAGAGACGGTAACATCATCCCGTCCAACACTTATTTGCTTACTTTTACTCTTTCAGCACTTCCTACGTCAATCAAAGCTGGTTATCTAAACATCGGAGTGGAGGTGTATGTCCCCAATCCACTCCGGTGTTTCAAGTGCCAAAAGTTTGGACATGGCTCCAGATCTTGTGCTCACTCAGTGGTCTGTCAGCGCTGTGGTGCCAGTCATGACAGCACCGACTGCTCAGCAGAAATAAAATGTTCGAACTGTAAAGGACAACATCTGGCCTCGTCCAGGTTATGCCCCGAATGGCTTCAACAATCCAAAATCCTGAAGCTCAAGCATGAACAAAATATATCCTTTTATGATGCCAAGAAGCTGATCGAAAGTCAGAGCCTGCAAAGTCCACTTTCCAGAACCTTTTCTGCTGCTGTCACTACCTCCGCTCCTCCAACTGCATCCATTTCTATTCAGACAGAATTGACATGGATCATATCAGATCAACCTGTCAGCATATCATCAGTGCTTACTTCAAATTCGTCTTCAACTCAAACTATAAGCCACTCTCAACCTTTGACTGATCAAGCTGATACTGCTCAACCTGATACTGTTGAACCAGCTCCTACAACGCCAGAGGCTGTAGAAACTACGCCTACTGAATCTCAGGTTACTCTGACAAGGAAAGAACGTAAAAAACTTAATAGAAAACAATCAATCAGAAATTCCTCTTCTTCAGAGGTTCCTCTCAATAACTCCTTTGATGCTCTGGACATGGATGTAACCCCATCGTCACAGAGCAGTAGTAGGAGTCCTTCATCCTCACGTGTACGTGAACGTTCACCGATTGAGCCACCATGACTCAATCGTCTAACATAATCCAATGGAATTGTAGAGGATTTAGGAATAATTTTAACGATTTACAACTTTTAATTCAAGATTTTAAACCATCAGCTATGTGTTTACAAGAAACATACATTAAGAACACAGATAAATGTGATGTCAGGAAATATAACATGTATAATCACTTCTCACCTCCAGGAGCAAAAGCCACTGGAGGTTCTTCAATCTTGGTGAGACAGGATATAATTCATAGAGCTATTCCTCTGACCACCAGTCTTCAAGCCGTTGCAGTCCGGCTACCATTTCACATCGCCTTCACACTTTGCTCTTTGTATATTCCACCATCTTCTCCACTTCAGCAGGCTGATCTTCAGTCTTTATTTGACCAACTCCCTCAACCCTGTGTCATCATGGGTGACCTAAATGGACATAACCCTCTGTGGGGAAGTGTCGATACGAACGCTAAGGGCACGGTCCTTGAAGATTTTATTACAAACAATAATTTATGTATATTTAATGATGGTGCAAACACATATTTACATCCTGCAACAGGAACATATTCAGCATTAGATCTGTCACTCACTGATTCTAATTTAATACACGAATTTGACTGGTCAGTCCATGATGACCTATGTGGAAGTGACCATTTCCCCACAATACTAAAGTCTATTTTCCCAACTGATGAACCACCTTCAACAAGGTGGAATTTTAATAGAGCAAACTGGCCCTTATTTCAAACACGTTGTTTTGAAACTCTGAAACCTGAAACGTTCAAAAACATCCCTGACTCTATTCAGATATTCTCAGAACAACTGAAACACATAGCTGATGAAACAATTCCTAAGTCCTCTGTGAACCCGCACATTCGCAAACCATGGTTTAGCGATGTTTGCAAACAGGCTAGAAAGCATAGGAAAAAGGCAGAAAAGTTTTTCCGCCGACACCCTACGGTCCATAATTTAAATATTGTAAAAATAAATAGTGCAAAGGCTAAACGAACTTTTAAACAAAATAAACGTCAGTCTTGGAGAAATTATGTATCCAGAATCAATTCACGCACACCTATATCAAAGGTGTGGAATATGATTCAAAGGATCAAAGGCAAGGGTTCTAAATCCAGCATTAAACATCTCAAAGATGGTAATGATTTATTGACAGATAAAGTTGACATTGCAAATAAATTAGGAGAAACTTTAGCCAAGCATTCTTCATCATCCAACTATGACCCTAAATTTCAGAAAATTCAGCAACAACAGGAAAAGAAAAAGGTAAATTTTAATTCTGATAATGGTGAAGACTACAATGAAGTGTTTTCAATACATGAGCTAAATACCGCCCTTGGGCAAGCTCATGATACTGCAACTGGAGCTGATAATATTCATTATCAGCTTTTAAAACACTTGCCTGAATCATGTCTCCAAACACTTTTAACTATATTTGATGATATTTGGACATCAGGGTCTTTTCCTCCTTCGTGGCATGATGCGATTGTAGTTCCTATACCGAAACCAGGTCGGGATCATACAGATCCATCAAATTACCGTCCGATATCTCTCACTAGCTGCGTTTGCAAAACTATGGAACGTATGGTGAATAATCGATTAGTTTGGTATTTGGAAACCAATCATCTCATTACAGATATCCAGTGTGGTTTCCGTAAAAA